GAACTCACGACCTTGCGCTTGCCAAGCAGGCGCTTTTGCCGCTGAGCTAAATCCCCAGCCCCTCCTTCTCTCTTTCTTTCCTTCTCTCTTTCTTCTCTTTCTTTCTTTCTCTTTCTCTTTCTTTTTCTTTTTCTCTTTCTTTCTTTCTCTCTTTCTTTCTTTCTCTCTTCCTCTTTCTTTCTCCCTGCCTTTCTTTCTTTTGAGACAGGGTCACACTGTGTAGTTCAGGCTGGCCTGGAACTCAGTGATCCTCCTGCCTCAGCTTCCAGAGTGCTGGGGTTATAGGCTGCACCACCACAAGTGGCTCCACATTTTTTTTTAAAGCTGTTGGTACCTGTTTGCAACACATGTTACTTTTTATTGTTGGACTCCTAATAATTCACAAAGGTCCCCCTTAAACCTTGGGAACATGTCCCCATTTTCTAGATGAGAAAACCGAAGCTTAGAGGACATTTCTCATAACCGGGAACAAGCAAAACTGAGTCCCGTTCTCCAGAGCTGCTTCCCACAGGTGGGAGCGTTCACAGGGTGGCCGCACCTGGCAGGGGCTCTTGCTGCCTCATCTTTTGCGGAGAAATAAAGGGGCAAGTGAGAGAGGCAGAAGAGACAAAATGAAGCTGGGAGAGATGGTGCACACCTGTAATCCCAGTGCTCTGGGAGGCTGAGGCAGGAGGACTGCAAGTTGGAGTCCAGCTTGGGCAATTTAGTGATGCAGGGAGATCCTGTCTGAAAATAAATATAAAAAAGGGCTGGGGGGGTGGCTCAGTGTGGAGGTCCTGGGTTTGACCCCCTGTTACAGAAAGAAGGAAAGGAAGGAAGGAAGGAAGGAAGGCAAAACTTGAAGGTGGCTTTGCTTTCCAACAGTTGCTGTCATGGTGATAACCCAGCCCATGAGGAAGGTCTCTCAGCCAGCTAAGCACCTCCTATAGTTGCATTTATCAAGGCCACATTTACCAAGGCCACACGGCGGCAGTTAAATTTCAACATGAGCTTCGCAGGGCCAGCCACATTCCGACCATAGCTCCAGAAGTGTGAATAGAGCTTTGTAAGTCACAAAGCTCGTGATTTGCAGGACTGCACTGGCGGTGTGGGAACTACCACCCCAGAGGCTCCGGGGAGCACCAGGTCCAGGGAGGGGCAGGAGCTGCTGCAGGGCGCCCAGGGTCTCAGAGTCTCTGCTGCTTCACCTGCTTGGGACTTGGCAAGCTGTGGTCGACACCCTCGTCTCACAGGAGGTGAGGAAAAGGCCGGGGTCACCATCACCGGAGGTCCCTGCGACTTTGCCCTTGGGCCTCTCTGCCTCTAGAAAAAGCTGAGCTGCCTCCACTACGCGGCCCTGGGCGGCTCCGAGGACGTGTGCCGGGCCCTCCTCCGCGCAGGAGCCTGCCCCAACGTGGCTGACGACGTAAGTGCGCCCGCAGACTAAAGGGCGTCCCTCGCAGGGCTCCCAGCACTTTGGATCCTTGGGGTTGGGGTGGGGCTGGGACTGGGAGCTGGTGGCACCGGGGGAGCCAGCTGTCAGCCCAGCTGGACCGGCACCAAAGCCGGACTTGCGCCGTCTCCCGGCTGAGTTACCCGCACGATTTCTCCGCCCACCTCGGGTCTTAGCAGTCATGTTTTCCGTGAGCAGCCTGGCCCCTGAGTTGTTAATTTTTTTCCAGTTAGGATACATTCGGAAAGTTGCTTTGACCTCCCTATCGCTGTGTAGGAATTACTTTTCTTCCCATTATAGAAATTAGGGAATGTCTATTGTTCTAGTCCCTAAAGTGGGACTAAAAATTTTGTGTGTGTGTGTGGTGCTGGGGATCGAACCCAGGGAGTGCTGAGCTACATCCTCTATCCTTTTTAGTTTTATTTTTTACTTTGAGGCGGGGTTTCAATAAGTTTTGAGATTCTAGAAGGGCCAACGCTAGCCGCACTGTACCCCTCTACTCCTGCCACCTGCCCCCCAGCAGCACCTGCCCCGTCCGCTGATCCCCGTGTCTCCCCCACAGCGGGGCGCCTCTCCCCTCCACCTCGCCGTGAGGCACAACTTCCCTGCCCTGGTCCAGCTCCTCATCGACGCCCACAGTGATCTGGACGCCATCGACAATGTAAGTGGCTGCGGAAGCCGTCCAGACCCCAAGAGCCTCCAGGCTGCTTCCAGGCTGGCAGGGCACGGCCCAGAGTTGGGGAGACCCCTTTTTAGCATTTCAAGGGTTGTCCGAACCTTTGAATGTTGACTTAGGATAGTGAGCTAGCTAGGCCTCATCTCCTCCCCGCCCCTCCTCTCCTCCTCCTTCTCCTCCTCTCCTTCCTTTACCTTCTCTTTCTCTTCCTCCTCCTTCCCATTTTGTTTTTACCAGTGTTCTTTTTGAGAACTGTTAATGATTAAACCCTCGCCGCCCCTGCCCCACACCATAACGTCTCCAGACACCTGCGGAAGGGGGCATCCCACCTGTCCTGCCCGGCTTTGATCTGCCAGCCACCCCCATGTGCTTTTCTGCTCACCTGGCCTTGGCTTCTCCCCCAGAGGCTGCAGACGCCCCTCCATCTGGCCGCGGAGCACGCCCGGCAGGATGTGGCAGAGATGCTCCTGGTCGCAGGGGTTGACCTCACCCTGCGAGATAAGGTACCTGTGCACCCAGCCGGCACCCGCCAAGCTTTCGGGGCCCCTCCTTGCTGGAGACCCAGCGATGGAGCTTTCTTCCTCTCAGCGTGTCCGAGACCACCCAGCCTGTGTACTTCAGCCTCCCCCAGGAAGCCCTCTACCCTTCCACTCTCTTCTCTTTGTTCCGGGGTCCTTGTCCTGGTGAGGCCTGTGCTGTGGTTGCTTCCTCCTTCCTGTGTCACCCTGGGGGGCCCTGGGGGGTAACAGGAGGACCGCCTTGTCAGCCAGCGCCCCTTGCACCCCAGCTCACTGAGCCTCCCGGTGGCTGCTTCCTCAGGTGGTTGGGGGTCTCAGAAGAGCTGAAGGCGTGGGGTGAGGTCCCAGGCTATGAGGACAGGACACAAGCACACACCACTGTGAGGCTGCCCTGGGGTGCAGGGCAGAGTTGGGAGCCAGGGCAGGGTGGTCCTGCGAGGGGCTTCCTGCTTGACTGGGCCCCAGGGCAGCTGGCCAGGTCACTGCAGGTCCCTGGCGGCCAGCTGGGATGCCTGGGGCAGAGGGCCCGGTGCCTGTGGGGAGGCAGGCGGGTGTGACAGGATGAACGTACAGCCCTTTCTTGGGGTGCTGCTTTTTTCATCTGAAACTTGGGATAGGGGGCTGTTTCCTGTATCATCTCACGGGAGAGGGTGAAGAGTTAGCGAGGGCCGGGGTTCGTACCTAGTGAGCCTAACGCTTCTTGAGTCCTAAAGAAATGCGAGAGGTGGCTGCTGGAATTGTTATTATGGCTTTATGCTACCTGTCACTTTTCCACGTCCTTTTTCTGTCTTGCCTAGAAAACCATTTTGCTCTTCACCGTAGACACTGGGAATGGTTTCTCGGGCAGGAGGGTTCAAAGTCAGTGCCAGAGGTCTGTACTTTGTACCCCTGCAGTAGAAACCCTGGCTTCCCCTCTGCCTCTTGCTTGCAGCAAGGGAACACCGCCCTGGCAGTGGCCGCCCGCAGCAACCACATCACCCTGGTGGACATGATCATAAAGGCTGACCGCCTCTACAGACGGGGGAAGGTACGGAAGCCCCAAGCTCTGTGGTCTTCATGTTGGGGAGGGAACGGTCTCGGCTCAGGGTGGAGCTGGCTTGGAGTCCCAGCCCTGACCAGTTCTGCGGCCTCTCAGTCTCCACGGGGTCTCCAGGGGTCTGGAGGTGGGCAGGCATCCATATACACTGGAACAAGAGAGGCTGAGGACCTGCCCATGTGGACATGTTGCTGCACACTGCTGTAGCTTCTGGGGGTGAATGCACGTGTGTGGGTGTAGATATGCACAGGTGAAGAAGGAGATGGCAAGTTGGGGCCATCTTATTGCCATCTCTAGGCCGTTGGATTTGCTCTTGGGCTATTGTAATCAGGCACCTTTCTGAGCCCAGGAAGAAAGTGTGCTGGGATTGATTGGTGATGTCTGCAGTGGATATGGACTAGATGAGAGGCAGAGACAAAGTGTGCTGGGATTGATTGGTGATGTCTACCTGGGGGGGGGGGAGAACAGGGGCAGATCTTAAAGCTGTGCAAAAACTGTTCAATCACCGAATGAAAGTGAGTTTTCTGGCATCCCGCAGGGTGTTTTTACACATAGAAAATGTTTGCATTTACTTTAGTTTTCAAAATTAATATTAAATTTGTTTTGTTGTTTTGAGATAGTCTTGCTATATACTGTAATTTACACTGGCCTTGAACTTACTAGGTCACTATGTAGCCCAGGCTGGCCACAAACTCTCAACTTCCTGTTGCTATGGTTACAGGCCTGTGCTACCACACCTGGCTGTTATTAAATTTGTTAAGTTGAAAATTTATTTTATCTTGAAAATTTAAAAACCTACTTTTCTTAAACTTTAAAATTTAGTTTGTAAACCAGGCATGGTGGTACATGCCTGTAATCCCAGCACTCAGAAGGCTGAGGCAGGAGGATCATTGCACATTCAAGACCAGCCTGGGCTACAAAATGAGCTCAAGGCCAGCCTGAACTGCATAGCAAGACCCTGTCTCAAAAAGATGAAAAATAATTCTAAATTTTATTATGCCATTTATATAACAGGTATTTTTTGGTGTGTTTGATGCAGTGATCGAACCCGGGGCCTTGAACATGCCAGGGAAGTATTCTACCACTGAGCTGCATATACTCCCAGCCCACAGCTAGTAAAATTTAACAGTTGTATTCAGAGAAGCCTTTTGATGACTGTTTCGTCCCTTGTTTAATCTAGTTAAACTACCTTAGACATTTTATACTGAACAAATAACTTTATATAATAGAGGTAAGTACTTTGAGTGGTTGCTGAATTCTTAAATTGTTCTGCTAAATCTGTTAAATTAACCCTATAAATAATCTCAAATATCATAAAAGTCCTCATATACTAGTTCTCACATGCAGTCAGTTTCTTTACTTTAGTTTTCATTGATTGGTGATGTCACCATTTTGATCAATCAAAATGGATTGATCTCTGTTCCACTGGGAATCACAAGATACTCTTTTTCACTGATGGGCTAGGCTCTTAAACTTTACCATCCCCTGTTCTACACCCAATGACCTCTACATGGAATCCCCTAATGGAAATACTGCAGGTTGGACTAAGCAACCCATCTCTGCTTAATTCTAAGCCGCTTCGGGCTTCCCAGGTTCTCACCACGAGGCAGGGGCTGCATGTTGGAGTCACAGATCACCCCTCCCCACCCCAGACCAGTTCTGTCAGTCCTTTTTGGGCAGGGGCCAGGCCTCAGTGGTTCCTGAAGCCCCCAGATGGCATCCATACACACAGGGTTGAGAACATTGCTCTGAAGGGACTACTGTGGACACCCAGGTGAGACCCAAGCTCCCAGTGACTGTCCAGAACCCACTGATCAAGATGTCAGATTTGGAGCTGTGGGCACCAGGGTGATATTTTTCACCTCTGGCCTTTTTAACAGCCAGAATTCTGCTGCTGTTCTTTTTCAAAGGGCTTAGGATCTTGTCGGCTTAATTTACTGCTGTTACTTAACTTTTGTAACCTCTCGTGTTATTGCCTGCGTTGCCTAGAAAGGACTCTGTAGCCCACCCTTGTTGGGATTCATTGGCCTGATGGTTGGCCTGTCTGGTTTGGCTTCAGCTTTGCAGTCATTCTATTGACAACCACACTATAAAAATGTAGACAGGGAAGCCAGGTGCGGTGGCGCATGCTTGTAATCCCAGCACTTGGGAGGCTGAGGCAGGAGGATTGCCACAAGTTTGCAGCCAGCCTAGACTACGTAATGAGTTCAGGGCCAACTTGAACTGCATAGCAGGATTCTGTCTCAAAACAAAAAAACGTGCAGAGGGGCTAGGGTATAGCTTGGTGGCATAGCACTTGCCCAGCACGTGCAGAGCCCTGGGTTCCATCCTCAGCTCTACAGACAGAATCAAATGAAAACACTGAGAAATGAGAGGAGCTGGGACCTCCTGGAGGAGGTGGCAGAGGAGTGGTCTTTTGACTGTGGCAGTGGGGTTGAAGGACAGGGAGGTGAGAAACAGGACTCGGAATGGCAGAACACACGGGTAATTTGGATTCCAGAGGTTAAATCAAGGCACTGAGCTGGACCCCAGAGAGGAGGACGTTGAGCTGTGGCCCGTGCTGACTGCACGTCCCAGGCTGCCCGGCGGGGGTGGCTGTGGGTAACGAGCTGCGGCCCTATGTCACCTCTGTCCAGTCTCACGCAGGAGAGCCTGGCAGAGAGCCCCCCAGATGGCTTCTGCACTTTTGGGATCTGCCCCCCAGGACCACCTCTCCTGCAGGGGCCCCAGCGACCGCCTGGCGGGAAGAGCTTGACCTTCAGGCAGGACCATCGGCCGGAAACGCAGCAGCTGCGCTCCGTGCTGTGGCGCCTGGCCTCCAGGCACCTGCGGCCGCACGAGTGGAAGAAGCTGGCCTTCAGCTGGGAGTTCACTGAGGCCCACGTCTCCGCCATCGGGCAGCAGTGGACAGGTATCATCTTGCCATACCCTGCCCAGAGCAGCCAGCGGCAGAGGAGCGGTGGGGTCCCTGAGGTGTGCCTGGCCTTCTTGCTACCGGGGAAAGAGCGTGTGGCACCCCTGCCTAGCCCCACACCCGTTGTCTCCAGCTCATCGCCTGCTTCCTCCTCTCCAGGCCTGAGCACGGCAGTGTGTTGCCTCCCCTGCCCTTCCCAGGGACCTGTGACACTGACACTATCAGAACCAGCCGGAGTGTCCCTGCTGTCCCGCATGAAAGACTAAACCTAAGCCGTTCTGTTCCGATGAACACAATAGGGCCTGCTCCTATTTCACATCTATTAGGAATTCTGGCCCTCACACTAAGGCACGAAAATGAAATAGGCATAAATTATAAAAATATTGGACAGGAAGAGAGAGAATTATCACTTTCAGATGTTTTAATTACATATACAGGAAGTAGAGCGGAATCCTAAAAAAACCTTAGAATCAGTAAGAATTCAAAGAAATTGCTGAAACATACAAAGACAGCATGGTATTTCTATGTATCATTAGTAAATGGGCAAAAATATATATAGAACTTTCCAAAAGGTGCCAATAGTGAGTGTTTCACCTGGAAAAATTTCAGGAGACAAATAATAACAAATATAGATAAAACATGAAAACTAATTGAACTGTAAAAGAATTGGGGAAATGGAATGACGTTCTGTATGTCTGGCCAGAAAAGGTGTCATGTAGATGTCACTTTTCCCCAATGAGATTAAAATTTTGATCTAGTGCTAATCAGCTCCAAATAAATTTCTGAATTTGGACCTAAAGATTCTAGTTTGTCTGAAAGAATAAACAGAGGAAACATAAATGAGTATTTCAGGGAAAAAAATAAAAGGATATAATCCAGCCTCAATCTTTTAGAGTCTCAATCTTTTAAAGTCTCAGTCTTTTAGAGAGTTAAGACAATTAACAGAGAACCCTGACACAAATACGCCAGTGTATCAGTGGGATCGAGCAGAGTTTCCAAAAGTAAACTCTATTACAGAGAAGAATTTGCAGGTATGATAAAGGAGATTTGTCAACTCTGGGAGTCAGGGCAAAGAATATTTGATAAATGGTGTTGAGGCCACAGAGCCAAAGGAAAGTGCCACCAAGGAGGGACACAGCCTCAGGAGACAGGAATGGACTGATGTAGCCAAGTATGCACTGCATCCCGGGAGGGTGAGCTGACCTAGCCACAGGGTTTAAAAACCCACTAACCCCCAGGACTAGGCACCAAGTATTCTGGGAGTTGCTTCCCTCATGTGGCTGTGTATTGCAGTCACCCGGGAAGCTGTATCCCGCTCAGTGCCTGTGCTGTGCCCCGACCCCATGCCTCAGAGGCGGGTGCGGTGGTGCCAGTGACTGTATCTTCTGCTGCCTGCCTGGTATTTGCAGTGAGCGGCAAGGTCAAGAACCGCTGTGCAGGGGAAGGAACCTGGCCAGTCTGTCTCACACTAAGCTGATCTCTTGCTGGTCAAGTAGGGCGGTCAGCACGCACGGCACAGGACGTGAGCCGTCAGATGGACTGCGTAACTGCATCCGGGTGCATCCGGGTCCCGGGAGGGTGAGGCCAGTTCTCTTTTCAGAGTGACACTGATGGAGTGTGTGATGGATGCTCAAGAGAAGGCCCAGGGCTGAGAGGTTCTAGAGCCCAGGGCACACACTTGGATCACACTTGGATCAGTTGTGGTGCAAGCCAGTAATCCCCGTGCTCTGGGAGGCTGAGGCAGGAGGATTGCAAGTTCAAGGCCCGCCTGGGCAACTGAGTGACTTAGCAAGACAAAAGCCTGAACCCCTCCATCTGAGGGGTGCCCTCCCTGCAAGTGAGGCCACGGGGCTCTTTCCCAGCTGGTGCGCTCGGGAGTGGTAAGGGCCAGCCTTTCTCTGCAGGCACCAGGAGCTACCAGGAGCATGGCCACCGGATGCTGCTCATCTGGCTGCACGGCGTGACCCTGGCCGGCGAGAACCCCGGCAAAGCGCTGTTCGAGGGCCTGGAGGCCATCGGCAGGAGGGACCTGGCTGGTGAGAGCGCCCTCTGCTGGGCTCCCTTGGGACGCTCAGACCAGAACGCTGTGAGGCCGGCTCCAAACCGTCCAGATTCCCGGCCCTGGGCGCTGTCACCTCCTAAAACTCCACAGCGCCTTGGGCGTGCCACAGTGCCTCTCAGCCCCCTTGTCCCCATCAGTGTGGTGAGGTGGTGGACAGCCCCAAAGCCACTGGTGCTCTGTGGCTTGACTTATTTCCACTTGGAACAGCCTTCAGACTTCTTCACAAACATTGACAGGGGCCCAGAGTGCCTCAGTATGGCTTGAACCCATCAGATGTGGTAAATAGGGCCCCAGAGGCCATCGCCACCTGTTTATACGCTCCCGCCCGTTTGATCCACTGGTGGTGCATGCGTGCCTGTCCCCTCAGGAGGCTCGTGCCATCTGATGGGGCTGTTGCATCCTCCCCAGTGGGACAGTCACGCATGTGCCGCCGGTGGTTCAGAGCCGCCTGGCAGCCAGACGTGAATTACGGCCCTGTCGCGAGCATGTTAAGTGTGTCAGCCCAAAAGCCTGATCTGGGACTCAGAGAGCCCCGTGGACCATCAGGCAAGCAGGACTAAAGGTTCTGGGACTCATCCATCATGAAAAACAACATCGGCTCAAGACAGAAAAAGCCCCAAACACTGTCATGTCACTGATACCGGAGTTACGGGACACTCAGGAGGGGGCACTGGACAGTCACCAAGCGCTGCGAAGGTCAGTTACCCGGTGACAGGCAGAACCACCCACCACATGATGAGCGGACGAAGGAAAGGCCAGTGTGGTTTCTGCAAGCAAGGGTGGAGGAATTAGGGGTAGCTTTTCTCTTTTTCCAGGATGTTTTAAAATACAGTCATCTACCATCTTTTAGCACAGTCTGGCAGGCAGCTGAAAAGCAAAGCCAGCCCTGGGAGGCCGAGCTGAGGCGAAGGGTCCTTGTGTTTTGCAGAGAGCATCAGGAAGAAAGTGAATGCCGCACCGAGGGCGCCCAGGAGCTGCACGGCCATGTGAGCACATCCGGCCTTCACAGGTGGCGCTGGAGCGGGCCGCCTGCACACCTACGACCGCCACTGCAGAGCTCTGAAAACGATCGCCAGGACAGGCCTCCAGCGGCTCCCGCCGACTGCAGAGTCACAGAGACCAGCAGGCGCACGTTCGCCATCTTTCTGAAGAGGCTTGGTCCGGGCCTGTTGTAGACTTCGCAGGTCGTCCTGTCCCAGGGGTGTGGGCCTTTGTAGCTCACCACTGTGTCAGCCCCAAGGAGCAAAGGACATCTTCATATCCAGGCCGAGGCGGGAGAGGCAGCTTGCCCTGGTCCCACTGCCAGTCAGGGGGCCGGGTCAGGCGTGAGTCCCCGTGTTCCTCCCCAGCTCGGGTAGGGAAAGGGCTCCGTCCGTCCCTTTCAGAGCAGACTGCCCCCAACTTGGTCACTGGCTTCTTAGAATACCGCGCTTTCTCTGCCGCTGTCTGTACTTCCACATGTATTTGTACACTTGCGACAGTGCCGGAAGGCATGGACTCTTCATTTCCCACTCCTCTTGTTTCATAATTCAAAAAAATATTTTAAGCTTTTTAATTTGAAATCATTTTAGACTCACAAAAATGTCGCAGAAATAGTACAGAGGATTTTCCAGGTTTCCGCCTGGGGAGCAGTTGCACTGGGGTGAGATTGGAGAAAAAGTTCTCAGTGGTGTCGTTTTTATACCGTTTTGACTTTGAAAGGTGCAGAAAGGGTGGGGCACTGTGGGAAGGGCGAGGAGTGGTTGTCCGGGAGAGAGAGGCGGGCTGAACAGATGGAGCCCAGGGGATTTCAAGGCAGGGAAGTTGTTCTGTATGATACAGGGATGGTGCGCGCAGTGTATGTGTGCACGGGTGAAATCCGTGACGTGTGCAGTACAAGGAATGAGCCTGAATGTAAACTACTGACCTTCATTAATAATAATGTCCGTTGGCTGGGCGTGGTGGCGTACACCTGTAGTCCTAGCACTTGGGAGGCTGAGGCAGGAGGATCACTGAGTTTGAGACCAGCCTGGACTACAAAATGAGTTTAAAGCCAGCCTGAACTGCATAGTGAAACCCTGTCTCAAAAAGGCAAAAAAAAAAAAAAAATCTCAGAAAAAACCTAAAGTTATAAAAAGGAAAGAAAAAGAGGCTTTAAAAATCAACCCATCAGGCCAGGTGTGGTGGTGTGGATCCCGGCTACTCAGGAGGCTGAGGGAGGAGGATCATG